CCTGTGAGCATCCTCCCAGCGAGCCCAGGAGGGAAAGTGCCGGCCAAGTTGCTCGGGGGTTTTGAAAAACATTTTTAAAAAATACATGCTCATCCTGTTTTTATTTTCTGCTCATTAGATTACTTCTTATTTTCAGAGTTCGTGGCACCTCTCGTCAGATTGTTTAGATTATCATCGTCTTTTGGTTGGGAAAAAAAAAACACCCACAAAACTTCAAGTTTTTTCACAATTAGGAATTACACCAAAAGTTGCTCTATGCACAGCAAGGAGCAAGACAGAACAAAAGCACTGCTTTCTTTTTTAGTATTTTTTTTTTTGCAGCCATTAATAGGATCTTGTCTCGCAGCCATAAATTTAGTTAAGACATTCTTCACTTTTTGTGGAAAGGGAATGTATGAAAAATCTGACCTTAACCTTCCCTTTTTGTTAGCGACCTAAAAGCCGCGCTGTTTAGACCGAGTCTGGAAAATGAAACTCATTATGTAGAAAGCAAAGTACTTACCTGTGCTGTCTGGAAATTGTATTAGATTAAAAAAAATAAAATGGGAGTATTTAAATAAATAAGACCAGCATGGTCAAATTTCAAACAACTGAGCCTCGGCGCCCCCATCCCTCATTCCGCATGTGTCCGTCCCGCAGGCAGCCGAGGCCGCCGCAATCATTCCAGAGAAGTGATCTGTGAAGCCTGGGTTTTTTTTAAAGTTCTTGCTGTCCCTTGCAATTTAACAATGCACCGTTTGAGTTTCAACTCTGGGTTTATTTTCTTTCCTGGCCCCCCCCCCCCCGCTTTTTTTTCTCCTAAAGGGCTCAAACTTTACCTAGATCGCCGAGGAGCCGAGCGGCTAAGAAAGGATCCTAAAATCCTCATTCCATTTGTGGGGAAGGGGGGAAAAAATGTAACTGACTTTCAGGAGCCTTTCAGCATTGTTTAAAAATTTTTAAATAAACATTTGACAGTTTTTAAAGTTTAAAATTGCTTTAAGTTTTTAATAGCTAAATTCTCCTTAGATGTGATTTAAAAAGCATATGTGGTCATTAAAATAACGACTCTTTCAGACCCCTATAAAGGATTAATAAGATCTAAAAATACTTCAAATAAATCAAGGCTTTCGGCTGCGAGAGGAAGGCATTCCTTAGACATTTGGGGAGTGAAATTCCTTTCACATTTTCTGATGTCCTTTCACTTTTGTGGAAATCCGTACCTTCTCCCAGAAACAAACTCCGCACTCTAACTTATCTTTAATTGCTCATAAAAATTGGCTGTAAGTGGCACAATGAATTCTTTAGAAGAATGTTAATTTCCCAATTTGTGATGACTCCATTTTAGAAATTGCAGGACTGGGAGACTAACATAAATCCAGCGCCCACTTCTCTTTGAAAGGTAACTTTGAGTTTTCAAACGTGCTTTTTGCTCTCTCCGGCACAAATCGGAGGCGCTGGTGTGGCCTTTGAGATGCAGGCGCTTGTGTACCTGAGGCCGGGCCGGCCCGCACCCCTAATTCCTGTTTTCTGGTCTGTGCCGTTGCCGCGTTGGAATGCAGATATTAATTGCAGCTCCTCATCTGCTAGGGAGGATTTTCACACTGGCATCTGTGTTTCATCTACGGCCTGTTCCCACACTTATACATGGGTATGATTGAACACACATTTATGGAGACTCCTAGTTGTTTTATGTTCTTTTATTTGAAAAATAATAATTAACTTAGGAATGCTTCCAGGGTTGTGAGACCTTTTTATATACACACGTAGGTAACACATCGTGGAAAGCGAACGCGTGGACGTTCCAAGGTGTGTGAAAGACGATGGAACAGCTGCTCGCGGAAGGTTTCTAAACAAACACGGGCGCGCGGGTGCGGAGTGGCCGCTGTCAGTCGCGGGAGCGGAGGACGTGCGGCTGATCGCTGTCAGCTGCGGGCCCGCAAAGTCTGTTCTTTAGATATTTTTTTTTTAGATGAAAGGACACCCAGAAACGGCCTGGGGCGCGGGGGGGGCGCGGGGGGGCTGCCGAGGCAGAGCCCCGCTCTGCGCTGTACCCCCCAAACATGCTCTCTCCACGGCCGGGGCTTCGTTTCTGAGGCTGGTTGTCACGCCAAGTTTGACATAAAACTGAGTGAGCGAAAGCAAAAGGTTTTGAAAATTGCTTCATTATGCTCAGAAGGAAAGACCCTTCCAACGGCGCGCTCACCTCTCCTTCCTCGGAGACCGTGCGCAGGCCGGGCAGGGCGCGCGCTCCCGGTTTTGCTTCTAGCTAAACTAGCAGGCGCCCGCCGCCGCCTCCGCGGAAAACGCCCGCCCCCGGCCATCCGTGGGGCCATCGGTGCTCCTCGGCGTGTGTGCAAATCACTGGGAGTCAGCATGAAGCCTCCACCCGCGGGACAAGTCATCACAAAGCCGGCCGCTGGGAAGGGAACCCCGGCCTGCAAAGGACTCAGACAAAGACGGGAGAGCAGAATCCCGCGGCCGGGGTGCTCTCTCCGCGGCACCCCAGGCTCCTCCAGAGGACACGGGGGTCACGGAGGAAGCGGCGTCTTGCCCAGAGGCCGCGGCCCGCTCCCGGCCTGGAGTGGACGGGGCCGGCCGGAAAGTCCGCATTTTTCTGGGCTGTGCGGGCTGCATGTTCTAAACCCCAGTGACGAATGTAAGTTTCCACTGACACTCGCCCCGCCGCCTGAATTAGATTAAAGGCATCTGTGCGCTGGCTCCGAGGACGCCGCGGACACAGAAAACATTCAACTGGTGAGCATCCCGGCCGGGCGCGGGGAGAAGGGAAACTGGACTGAGCGCGGGACCTGCCCGGGCTGAGCCGGGACCCTGGGGCAGGAAGTCGCCGCTGCATTCCCGACAGACAGATCTTGGGAGAAATCAGGAAAAAATAACCGTATGAGGCCGATCCTATAAACATCCTGGTCTGGCGAGAGCTCCGTGTGGCTGAGTGTTCACATATCTGACCTCGGGTCCGCGTAGGCCACGGGCCGGGGGCTCCGCGGGAAACCGGCCGTCATAACACAGAACACTTGTCGGCAAAGCAAATATTCGCCTTCTCCTCTCAGACCATTACCTCGAATCATGTGGGATGATAGTGAGTTAGGAAAAGACTTTAAAAACCAACCCGAACCGCCCCCAACAGCATCACCCAAGTGCTGGTGTTTGATTTCCGAGTTTGCAGCCACGTTCTCTCTCAGTCCACGCCAGGTAAGAGGGGTTTTTAAAAAGAGTGTGTGTTCGTGACTATTGCTCTGACTCACCCAGTTCCTTGTTTTACCAAATAATAATTGGGAGGAGAGAAACAGCATTAAGTTAACTTACGACTGTGTAAGCGTGAGGGGAAAAAATGAGCTAATAAAAAGGTTAGCTGGCGGCCTGATTATACCATGATTTCAGGTGAAAATTACCAAGCTAATATCCTGGCATCTAGTCGCTGCCTTCTGTAATGACACAGTTGTCAGATGTGTATTTGTACCCACGGAGCAAAAGTTGGAAGTGGCATAATGGAAGATAATCTCTTTTTCTTTGTGGCTTTTTTAATTCAATGTTTTAATCCACCCATTTAATCACAAAACATATATCACATTAGTTATAATATTTCGAGTGCTTAGCAAAGTGATTATAAATAGATTACAGTGTGGTTGTTGGATGCGGAGTGTGTGTGTGTGCGCACGCACGTGCTATGTAGCATTTCTCGGCTCTGCGTTTGGGGATGGTTTTACGTGAGAATAGGAACCATATATTTATTTTGCAAAATCCCCATTCAGTTGTTACCCAGCTTGCTCATTATTTCAGAAAAACAAGATTTGGTATTAAAAGGGCCGGCACCTACGATGTTTTCACTTCTGCGTTCAGTCTAGTCCCGTGGTGGGCAAACTGCGGCTTGGGAGCCACAGGCGGCTCTTTGGCCCCTTGAGTGTGGCTCTTCCTAAGCCTTAGGAGTCCCCTAATTAAGTTAATCACAATGTACCTACCTATATAGTTTAAGTTTAAAAAATTTGGCTCTCAAAAGAAATTTCAATTGTTGTCCTGTTGGTGTTTGGCTCTGTTGACTAATGAGTTTAACGACCACCGGAAACTTTTTTTTTTTTTTTGGTGGCTCTGCAGCCCCCAAGTTGCTGAACCACAAATGTCTTTAATCTGTTTTTTTTAAAGTAGTTGAACCATCCAGGAGAACGGTGGGGCAGAGGGGGTTTATAAGGGTGTCAGGGTGGGGCTCTTCCTTGTGTGGCTGGCACAGGAGGGGACACACCGGGACTTGTGGCTGTGGAACTGCCCGACACACTGGTCTCATGGGGACGCGTTTCCTTACTGCACACACCCGTGTCCAGCGGGGGCTTAGGGCAGCGAAGACGATGATAAAGGCCTGGGTCGGACAAGAGAGGTCATGCGTCCCTGCATTCCGAGTCTGGGTTGCCGGAGCCGGAGCCGGCCTTTTCGGAGGAAGGGGCGCAGGATGCCTGCACTTCCAGCTCCGGACCCTGGCCCTGGACTGGGCGCCAGAGATCCCTCCATCCTCCGCAGGAGGAGGGGCGCACACCCCTCGGGGGAAGTCGCGGGCTCTGCTGGTTGTCAGCAGCGTGGAAAGTGAAAGTCGGTCAGGATTTCAATGAAAAGATGAACTGGGAAACGTCTCTGTTCCATTTTCTAAGGCTGCATATCCTCTCAGGAAAAAGAAAAAATCCATCCCTGGAAAGAAGAGGCTACAGTGCGATTCTCACCCGGGAAGCAGCCTCAGGAGGCTTCTGCATGAGGCCTGGTGTCCCCCTCCTCCCTCCCTCCCCCAGCGCGTGTGTGTCACAGAGTGGGGACGGCACAACTCAAGGCCAAGGCCGTGGGGGTCTAGGGAGCCACCAAGGTGGTCAGTGGGCAGCAGAGGTCCTTGGGGAGCCGCTCCAGCGGCCCCCGCCCAGCCTTGGCCAGGGCGGCCTGTTCCCCCTTTCCTGGGCAGTCCAACCCAACCTGGATGGGGTTTCCTGGGAGGAGGGCACGCGAGGAACTTTTGAATTTACCAATAGCATAAAAAGTATATATATATTTATGACAGCAGGCAAGTTTCCATTGGTTCACAGAAATGGCGAGATGTGACGTCAAGGGGACACTGTAGTGAGAATGCCAAGGCCGGTCGGGGCGGGGGGGGGACAGGCAGAGCCATTGGGATGGGGCCCAGGAGGCCTCCCTTCTTCGGGGCAGTCTACATGGGTGCTTGAGGACAGCCAGGCCCACCTGGCTCTGAGCGGGCAGCCCTGGCAGGAAGATGGGGTTATGAGCACAGTGACCCCTGTCAGAATCTTCTAGTGCCATAAGCTCAAGCTGACCCCTCTGGGGGTGGGGGGACCCTCAGGCGCCCCCCCCCCCCAGAGCCGGCAACAAAAGCTGCTGTGGCCTCGCAGGCACTCTGACCCTGCCTGGACCCTGGAGCCCGGCCAGGAGCGACCCCCTGCAGGGGCGGGAAGGACCCCGGGCAGCAGCGCAGTTCTAAGCTCGGAGAGCAAGGCTTCGGCCTGTAACTTCTCCCGCAGCTTCTGCGCCCTGGGCCCGGGGAGCAGGAAGTTGTTTCTGTGGGGAAGGAAGAGAGCAAGCTCGGAGCTGGGCAGCGGCTCGGGCACGGTGCCCACGCCCATCCCACGCCTCCCCGGGCACTGTGAGGATTCTCTCACCTCTGCCAGGCACGTTTGACACCCCCTCCATCTCTGGGCACAGGGCGCTTCTCCCCTCCACTTCACCAGACCCCGAGCGCCCCACCCCCTACCCCGCTGCGCAAGGCGCCCCTCGCTCCGCCAGGCCCGCGGCGGTGTCTCGGAAGACCCCATGGAGTCCCACTGGCACCGCCTTGCCCTAGA